TTTGTAAGCGACAGTTTTCAATTTGACATTAATGCTATTGATGTCATTAATGTCACATATCTGTCACTTGAGCTTAGTTTTTGCAATAACAAATGATTACTAAGTTTGGCGTTTGAAATACTATAATTTATAAATACCAGGATATTCGAATCTTTATATATGAAATCAATGAGATTAAAAATACTCTAAACAGATCAAGGACTTCGTGGAAATGCGTAGTAATTTTGCGTATAAATCGATATTTACATAACACGTGATCGTTCCTTTGCCTAATTACATGATACATGATTAATGTATAAATGATTTTTTATGTTTGTCATTTGTATGAACTTACCATGTATGTTAATTTAATTCAATACAGTTTAAGATTGAATTTGTATTGAAAATAACCCAATATTTATCATTTCTGAAGTTATTGCCTTAGATCTTTCCATACATTCCATATATTAGGTTGTCAAATATCTCCCTTCCGCTTTTTTGCTCTTGGTTTACAATACAAAAAGGCGGAAGGGAGATATTTGACAACCTTATTTTGAACCATGTTTACATTGATTTCGATTCTATCAATTGATTTGAAATACAGATTCCTTCCTTCTTGATATAATATTCAAAATCACAGACAATTTTTAGTGTATGCGTATGTGTTTATGTACGTACAAAACTTACATATAATATTATTTTCTATCTATAAGTGACGGCTCTAATAAAAAGCCAAATAATATATCTTTTGCTCTTGCATTTTTGTGGTTTTAATATGGACGATTTACAAAAGTAGAAAACGTTTTAAAATATACGCCCTATATAAGTTATTGCTTTAGATCTTATGAGTGCATTTACACACATTTTATATAAGAACCATATTAACATTGATTTCGATTCTATCAATAGATCTGAAATACAGTTTCCATCCTTTTTATATATAATAATATTAAAAATCACAGACAATTTTTAAGTGTATGTGTTCATGTACATACAAAACTTATATATAATATTATTTTCCATCTATAAATGACGGCTCTAATAAAAAGCCAAATAATATATCTTTTGCTTTTGCATTTTGTGGTTTTAATGTGGACGATCTACAAAAGTAGAAAACGTTTTAAAATATACGCCCTATATAAGTTATTGCTTTAGATCTTATGAGTGCATTTACACACATTTTATATAAGAACCATATTAACATTGATTTCGATTCTATCAATTGATCTGAAATACAGATACCTTCTTTTTTTATATAATAGTATTAAAAAACACAGACAATTTTTAAGTGTATGTACATACAAAACTTATATATAATATTATTTTCTATCTTTTTTTGGTTTTAATATGGACGATCTACAAAAGTAGAAAACGTTTTAAAATATACGTCCTATTGAGAAAAGCAGGTAGTTTTCTATTGCCAAAAGTCACGGTTCTTTAAAAATGGTTGTGCTTCGAAAGAGACCCTTAAGAGACCCCGTATTTCGAGTTTTTGACCTGGACTTGAGGCAGGTTTTGTGTTACTTTTTGGACTTCTTGACGAGGGTAGAGCCATAGCTTTTGTATAATATATTTTTTCATTAAAGTTTCTTCTACGTTCTTTATTAAGAATACCAGCTGAAATTTAAGAAATCTTTTGTATTTTAGAATGCATTTAGTTCATGCTTTTATAATCCTAGTAAAAACTGGTTTTTCTGAGAAGTTTGTTATTCGATATCGTGAGCATTTGATAAGATTTATTTGGATATATATAAAGAAATTCTTGATAGAGATGTACGGTCTGTATTCAATATTACAAAAATAACACATTATACTACCTATATTAGAGTTAACAGTTTTTAACTGTAATGATGAGTACATAAATTTTTATAACAAACTGACAAACAACTTGAATTACCCTATTTTGCAGATCTTAAGCTATATGGGTAAAGTGAACTAATAAAATTTATGTTGCTGTTAGATAGATACAATATATATTTTAAATAAAGTTATTAACTATATTTGAAATATATCTATCTATCTAACAGCAAATTTTATTACTTCACTCTACCTTAAGATCTGCAAAATTTGGTAATTCAAGTTGTTTCTCAATCATCTTTATTTTTCCTGTTTGTCAACAAAAAGTATGAACTTCATTAAATGAGCAAGTACTAAAAAATAATATACATATTCTCAATTCCCAAAGTATTGTTTTAAATCACATTTTAATGGTTCTTTAAGCTTATTTTTATTTTTGCACAACAAAGCTCTCGTTGCTTGACAACTTTATGACCATCCGGTACAGGATTTGTTTACAGTGAAATTTCAGACTGCATGATAATATATTTGATCTCGAAAACAAGATCGGAAAAATACAAAACACAACTAAATTATAAGAATTATTGGCAAATCTTTATATATTCTAAAACATTTAATTGCTTATTAGTATAGATTTAACGGGAACTATTTTAAGATGTTGGATTATATATTGATCCATAGAATGATTACATTTTTTAAATTATTTATCCAATCCATGGAGCAAGTATATTCTTATCTGATCCTCATTAGTTTGATTAAAAATATATCAATGCATTTTCTTTAATAATTACATGCAAATCGGGAACTATAATCATGCAATAATATAATTTATTGTGTTATGGTAATTATAATTACTATCTGATTTCTTAAATGCCGTTTTGTTGCGTTAAATGTTAAATTAGAATATGAATTTGTTATCATTTATACGCATAAATTTAACTATTGATAACGCACAAATGATTATGTTTTATTAGACAAAGAAATATGAGTTTTTTTCTTGATTTGCTACATTTTTCTGACAGAATATATTTTATTTTATTATTATGCATCTATTCTATATTATAAATATTTTTAAATATATAGCCCACAGATTTTCCAAGAGGACTTAAAAATACAATTATTTTATATTATGGATAACAATTATTATACAATATGGATAAATTGCAATCTCGTATAATAAAATTAATAATGCACTTAATACAAAATTACATAATACAGAATGTAATAATATTATTTATTTACATAGAATAAGATAAAATAATAAAAGATATTTGAAAAGAAATTAAAAGGTTAACTTTAGCAGATGGAGATTATTTGATGAAGTCATAACACTTCAAATTTCAAAAATTATGATTATGATTTATTAGACATATGCATTTAAGCTTTTTTTCTTGATTTGTTACATTTTTCTCACAGAATTATAAATAATGAAAACAAAGTCATCCATTTAACACGCTGATCACGACGATATCAGAAATATTTTCACTTGGCCATGGTAACTTCATTAGAAAATTTAGTTAAAAATGTATCAAGAAAACTCAATGTATAAAGGAAATAAAAAATCTTTTCAAAAAATTCCTTGTTCATAAACACTATTTTTTGTCACCATATATGACTGGCATGGTCCTATATTAAAGCTTTTTTTTTTGCTTTTGTCTGACATGACTCATGTAGAACTTCTTAGCGTCAGACACATATGACTGACATGGCGATGAACATTTTAATATTTATATTACTTAGTGTAGTATCCTGATACCATGGATTATTGAATTTTCTGTTTTTAACACTAAGATCAACAAATTGTAAGTACTTCTCACTCTTTATAAGTTATTTAATTCAATTGTTTTAGTTTTTACATTTTATTTTTAGTTTTCATTGAATGAAAGCTAGGATTATAGCTGAAAAGTATGGATGTAAATCAATTCTTAAAAGAAATTATTATTTTTTATTGATGCTATACCCGGTTATTAGACTTCGTTTTTAGCTATATCCATATTCACTGGAAATTACAGATGAAAAATATGTTTCTAATTGAAAATAGCCCGTTTCTAGCACTGCGGTGTGAAATGGCAATGGGAAATCTCTTACACTATTCTTTCCTGAATCGAGTTGGAGTTTAACTCAGCTCACGGAATCCGCATAGTTAATAAGTTAATAGCTCATGCAATTTTTTTCTAGCATAGTTAATAATCAAATTTAGAGTATGAACACCACTATG